AGTATACATATGTGGATTTTAATTGAACATGCTAAAAAAAATTCAGTGTGTATAAAATGAATGAAAATTTGATGTGGCCACAGGTTTTGTTACTTCTTTGGGACATAAACATGTTGAACAGTAGGAAACTGATGTCTCATAAAACTGAACAGTTAAAATTTTTTGATTTTGATATTTTGAGACAGGGTCACATGTAGTCCAGGCTAATCCTGAACCCAGCTAGCTATTCCTCCTATTCCTCCTGCCTCCACTTCCCAGGTTCTGGTCAACCAGTGGGTATTACAAAGATGTATACTAAAAAGTCTTGGAGTCAGTCATTTGAGAGAATATATTATTGTAATTCAGCTTGTCTCTATGCAGTAGGAGAGTGTGGAGCATGTAAAAGGAATAAAGAAGTGGACAGGGTTGGGAAAGGAACTTAGTGGTAGGGCGTTTGATAGGGCGTGAGGCTCTGCTTTCAGACCCTAGCACTACAAAAAGCCTAACCCTATCAATATTTTAGGAAATCAGGCTATAAAATGAAAAAAAGGCTATAGTAGGCAGAGGACATCATAGTTAAAGGGAAAGATTTTAAGTATAGGAGAAACCACAACAGAGTTATGTTCATGGCAGAATAAGATAGAGGAGTCTTAAGAATTACTGAAAAACAGTGCTAGATTCTAGAATATGGATAAAATTTAGTTTTAGATGGAATGGCAACAACTTTTCAAACATTTATTTTGTGCTCATGTGTGTGCATGTATGCGTGTGTGCTTGTGGTAAAAATTCAGTTTCTGTCTCATATCGGAAGAGCCACCTGGTATGAGACAGAAGAAAACCAAAAATCTAGGGACTGTTGTTGTCAATACTCTCTTATCTTCCCCCCTCCAATTTCTACTTCTCCCAATACCTATTTTTCATCTCTTCGGTACCTTTCTTAAGATGAGGAAATACCAAACATTTTAACTTTCCATTTTAATATTAATAATATTTAAGTTCTCCACAGTGAATGATACATTTTCCTACAGTAACCTCTGAAGCATCCAGAAAGAAGATTGGGCCCTACAACAATGATCCTCCCTGGTTTCTTGGATGTCATTGACCTGATAAATGCCACTCAAAGATTGGTTTGGGGTTACAAAACTGCTCAGGATGATTTCAACTTGGCTAGCTGAGATGGTGCACCTTCTTACAACACTCTGGCTAAAACTTCAAATAAGAACTTAAAAAAAATAAAGACCTGCTAACTACTCAGAGACTGTCTACAGTTGTTACAGACAGTACTCTTGAGACTTACATTCATTTTATCTTTCACAGGATCCCATAGAAATGCCATCGTACCCTGACAGCTGGAAGTAATTCTACAAAACAATGTCCCTCTCCCAACAGATTTTGTCTTCTTAGGGTTATGAATAACTGTCATCTGTTAGGGGTTAGTATAGGGTTGGAGGTTGAATATGAAATTTAGGCTCAGAAATGTCTTTTTGGAAAAGAAAAATAGAGGAATGAATGGGATGGGATATTGTTGAAATAGGAGCGGCAGGGCTGCGTCCCCGGCACCCGGCCGCCCGCATGGCAGGCTTATGCCCAGAAATAATTACACGGAAACTGTATTCTTTCAAACACTGCCTGGCCCGGCTAGTTCCAGCTTCTTATTGGCTAGCTCTTACATATTGTTCTAACCCATTTCTAATATTCTGTGTAGCCCATGAGCTGGCTTACCAGAGAGGATCTTAACCTGCGTCTGTCTGGAGTGGGAGCATCATGGCGACTCACTCACTCAGCTTCTTTTTCCCAGCATTCTCCTCTGTCTACTCCGCCTACCTAATTTTCTGTCCTATGAGGGCCGAGGCAGTTTCTTTATTGTTAACCAATGAAATCAACAGATAAGATACAAGACCCACCTCCATCAGGATATAAGTAGATTAATGTACCTACTTGTGAATTATTATAGACAATTTACATTGGTATAGATTCTTGTATATTGATACATATGTAAAATTATCTTTTATTTCTGTCTAAGACAATTTGTATATTGATACAAATTCAAATTGTATTTGTTATATTGTGTATGTTCCTATTTCTCCTTACAATATTTGTACACAAATGTAAAGTTATTTTGCCATACTGTATGTGTGTATTTTCTACCTCTGCTTAAGATATTTTGTATATTGATACAGTGTAAGGACATCTTTGTCATATTGCACTATACATTTTTACCTCTGATGAAGATATTTTTATATTGATACAATCTCGAGGTCATTCTCCTCGTGCTGCACACCTGCTTAAAGATTGTTTACGTTCTTATATAGAGCCCAAGTCTTTCAGATACGCAGGTTATTTAAGAATTACAGATTAATAGTCACCCATGTTCGCCATACCTTTAGTTATGTTAGTCAGATTCTCTGGATGCTCAGAGAGGTACTCTGCATAGATAGGCAGTCTTAAAATACATCAAAGAACTGTAGAATACGGCATTTAAATAACTTAGGATTCCTTTGATGTGAGACACAATTGCTCCTGGCAGCACCGACCTATTCCCGAGAGAATGTTGGACACCACAGACACTCCACTTGGAGTTTGTTGTCTTCTTGGCAGAGCTGGCCTTTGGGCAAAGGACTGCCCTTGCCTCGACTGCTGACAGTATGCATGCTTTCCAAATGGCACAGCAGAACACAAGCGAAGTGACTGCTGAAACTTTCCAAGACAGGGCAGAAATTTCCTGTTTCTGAAAGTGGTCTGCCAGATACTCTAGGCCTTAGCTGAAGTTGGTTGCCCCAACAATGAAAATGAGACTTTGAGTGACTGTCCAAGTAGCCAGCTGTTTCTGTCATTTCTTGCACCTTTTGGAAGTTGCTTGCTTGCACTGCCTACTTACTCAGGTAATATTATTTTTCTTCTCAGGTCTTTGATGGGGTTGAAGACTAAACAGTCACAGCTACTTTCCTCTCATAACTTAGATAAACATTTTAAGTACCAGACTTAGATTCCTCAGGATAGGACATCTATTGAAATAACCTCTCTTATTTGCTAATTTCCTTAGACTGGATGGACATTTAGCACATGTTTCTTGCTTTATGTTGTTCATGTTGGTTGTAGTTCTATTTTTGTGTAAGTTTTTGCCTTTTCTTCCTTCTGGACAATGCATAATATTTGTTATTATTGTATGTACTTTTTATTAGGTTTAAAACCCTCTTATTTAGACAAAAGGGGGAATTGTGGGCACCCACTCAGCCAATTAACTTTTGCGGGACTCTGGCTCTTTGGGCATGGTCTGAGGGACTTACTACATGTCTACTGATAAGATGCAAAAGAAAGCATGTTCAGTCTCTTGCTCTGGTTCTTGCTTAACATGAGGGGAGACCCAGGACATTGGAGAGATAACGTGGGATCAGGGATGGCATCTCATCTGCCCTTTTCTGTATTTGTAAGTTCATCTCTTTCCATTGCAGACACTTAATAAATCAGTTTTGTTGACCTCAGTGTGATGACATAGTATGTTCCTGTGTATGTCAGAAGAGCATTGGGTTTCCTTGAACTAGAGTTATAGGTAGTGAGTTCTGGTCCTGCAAGAACAGTAAGTGCTTTTAGCCAATGAGCCGTCTCTCCAGCCTCCATAGAATAGCAACTGTTGTGGAAAGGGAAAATGTGTAAGGATGAGTTCAGAGGCATCTACGGGAAACAAGAGAAAAATTTAAAGATAGTAGAGATGTTACAAAGCAGTTTTTATAGGACTTGTATTGTTATTACTGATTTGGGTGGTAAAGTTCTTTCTTTAGAAGGAAAAAAAGGCATCCAGGGTAGGGCACTTTAAATATTTATTTAATGCATATAATAAGCCAGTGTGCTAGGCACTGGGGATATAATGGAGAAGGTAAATTTCCCATTTTGAATATGCTTACGCTCTGTAGAAGAGTGCAAAACAACAGTCTAAAAACCATATAGTGTTAAGTGGTTATTAAAAGAAGTAAAGCAGGAAACCTACATCCATCACTGTCCAGTTTTGCTTTTTTAAATAAAAAAAGACAAAATTGCTTCCTTTGAAAATGTATTTGCTTTTTAGAATCTAATTAAAGTCATAGAAATTTTCAACACAAAGAATTAGAATGGTAAAGTGTAGAGGTTGGGCCTAACTTGGGAATCTGTGAACTAAATCCAGTAGCACGATAATACAGTCCTTCCATAACTGAAATATTTTACTCTAATTTCCTAATTTAAAATTGTATAATTTGTTCAAAAAGAAATGGGGTACTTCCCCCCGGCTTTATTGCTCATGTTTAACTTTGCCTGCTTCTCTGCACTGTACACCACTGTACACTGGCAAGCATTTATCATGTGGCAGGTACTTCCCAAGCTAAATTTGTGAAGTCTTCATAATGACCTGTGGGCCCTGTTTTATGAACAAGAAAACTAAGACCCAGACAAGAAGTCAGTATGGCTTTTGCATCTTTCGTTTAAATCAAATCTCATATCTCATGCTTTCCTTTAAGCTTTTGCATCTTTATATAATTTTTAAAATGTATTTTCATATTTTATTGTGTGTGAGTATGAATTGGCACATAAATGAGAGTGGCCATACGTGTGGGGGTCAGAGGACAGCTTTGGGGACTTGTCTCTCTCTTGTGTTGTCTCTAACTCTTCCTGCTGCACCACCTACTCTAGGTTAGATGGCAAGATTCCGAATGGCATTTCTGTCTCCATATCTAGCTTTTTACATGGGCTTGGGGGATTGAACTCATGTCACCAGGCTTGCACCATAGTCACCTTTACCTACAGAATCATCCTAATGGCCCGGTGTCTTTTTACATAAAGTGGTGTTAGTTCTAGCCCTGTAGAGATGCTTCAGAAATGATTGTACATGTCAACTCCAGAAATGTGCTTACATAGACTAGTGTGTCAGGTAGCAATTGCTGTAGGTACTTGTTTAGCTTCTTTATACTTCTAAATGAAAGTCTACTTTTGCTATAATTTGAATTTTCTTTTCAATTCTGGGTCTTCTGTCGTTTGTTTTCCTTGTACAGGAGTCCCAGCTCACAAACAAGGAAGTCTATTAGCTTTAGTAGCCCATCAAAAGCAAGTTCAGGGAAAGGCTATTCTGGCGCCACTCAAAGCAGAATTGCCATGTCAAGAACGATGGTTTCTGTTCCTGAGATAAAGCCGGTAGAAAAACTGAATATTTCTGGCACTAAGACAGTACAGGTAACTTTCTTTTTTCCAAAGTATTTTTGTTATGTTTAATTATTTAATTTGTGTGTACACGCGAGTGAGCATGTGTGTACACCCTGGCACGTGTGTGGAGGTCTGAAGACAACTTGGAAGAGCTGTTTCTCCCACTTTGTGGGTTCTTAAGATCAAATTCAGATCATCAGACTTAGTGGCAAGCACCCTTATTATCCCCAGAGACATCCTGCTGGCCCCACAGGTGACTTTTTTTTTCTTAGAATTCTGAATGTTGTGGGCTTTTAAAAAGGTTTATTTATTTAAAGTTATATGTGTGGAGGTATGTACACATGAGTGTGGGTGCCTCCCAAAGAGGGCATCGCATTTTCAGGAGCTAGAATTATGGGCATTTGTGAGCTGCCTGATGTGGGTTCTGGGGACTAAACTCTGGAACAGTAGTACATGCTCTTAACCTCTCTGAGCCTGCTGTCCAGCCCGAGTTTATTTGTAAATAACTCTGTAATCTCCTTCCTCTTGGCAGCTGTCAAGAGTTACAACTTGACTGGACTGTTGTTTTTCTCTCAAACACCAGTAAAATTGTCCTTGAGTTCCAGTGTGTGCCAGGGTGAATGTGTGATAGTCAGAGGACAACCCAGAGTTGGCTCCCCTCTTCCAAAA